ATTGATATATTATCATTATTATATTGTACATTTATATATTTAGTTCACTGTTTGTTTGTTTTCGTATTGCTATATTTATTGTTAGTGCTTGGCTGTTATTGGCCTCTTTTGGCTGTTGCCAAGCACTCTAATAAATGAATTGAATTTAATTTAATTGAATTAGAGTTGTATATTTAATCGTATTTCCTTTTATAGGCTCTCTAATGTCGGAAAACACTGTAATAAAGGAAATGAATTATCATCTTTCAAAACCAATAAGATGTAGGCAGTGACGATAAATATCTAATTATGTGTTTAATCACTACAAAACATTTTTTTCTATTGTAAACGTTTAGTGATGTAGCCTAAAAATTTGTCAGAACCAGTTTACGAACGTTAAAGTTATCTGGAGTAATTAATTTACACTCGCAAGTAAAATACGCCTTAAATTCATTAAAGTAAATAACACTTATACTCTGCTATTACACAAGAGCTATTCAGTACACAGAGCTCCATTAAAATCTACCGAAGGCCTCCAACTATACAGTAAAAAAAGAAGGTAAGTCGTTAGTACACTAATTTATGTGAAAGGAATTTACATAACTTAATACTCGAGTGCCAAAACTCATCTGAATCTGTTAAAAATTAAAAAAACACAATTACGTAAACTCAACCTCAAATAGAATTTAAATGTGGTAATACTTGTGCAAGTATCACACATACAGTTTCATAGAATTATAACAAATACTAAAAGTAAAGGCCTGCACATATAAACTTTCATTTATACTTTTAGGTAAAGTGGCCCTTAAAATACTTCAAATTAAAACAACATTAAACTGGCTTTACAGAACTGTAGTATAGCTCTACCCTACCAAGTTTGATAGAAATCGATTCAATAATTTGGTCAGACAGACGGGTAGACAAACAGACAATAATACACAAATTATTATCAAACTGCTTTCAGAAATACAGCAGAATTTGGTGTTCTCAAGAAAATCAGAATTTGAAAGACAATCACATTTTTTGAAAAGATTGTGCTTTATCTCCATAAATGGTTTCGCTTCATCTGAAAATGTTTCTTCCGAAGGTGCAGATTTGTAAACAATAACAGTTTTGATATCAGTGTTCTGAGAATCGAAATTCCCTACGAGTATATAAAACCAAACGTTTACTAGTGCATGCTAGCATAGAGTAGATCCTACACAGTTCGTCCAAACACAAAAAAAGAAAGTTCATAACTACCTAACCAACTAATCCACAATGTAGGGCATGGGGGCGATCTGTTTCACAAATATCCGACCTCAGAAAAAAAACATGAATTCATCAGCCTGTGAGTTCCAATAAAGAGAACTACAAAGTCAACTTTCCCGGAACATTCTCCTCCCACTTGTCAGTAATCTATGTAACTGATTACCACGGCCAGCTCCCGGTGAGCCTACGTACTAAGAAGCTTTCTCACAGTTTGGAGGATATTGACCTCCCAAACCCAGACACAAAGGAGAATTTTAAGGAACCCGTCTGACGTCTTTGCCGTCACTAAACTTTTTTCTGGTCCTGTGTCGGTAAAAAACATCGAACCCATCTTCCATCCCTAAGGTGCAAACGTCTGGAAGTCTTTGTAGGTTAGTGTGATAGCAACGCATGCGTGATGAGCTCCATGGAGCACTTTTATCAAGTCCCTATGTCCATAAAAATATAGGACACAATAGACTTTCTGTTGGGCTTATGTATGTTATTCCGAAACAAAGACACCACAGGGGGTTGAGTGGTGTACGTGCGTGTCTGGTCATGAAAGGCAGAGGGGGTGCGCGAGGCGTGAGATTCATAGTCGGAACGAAGAACCGGAAGGTTACAGCTGTGTCCTAGTTCCAGCGGTACGACAATCCATATTTGAAATGCTCGGTGTTATAATTCACAGAATAAGTATGTAGCATTTGTAACATAAAGAACTAATACGTAATGTTTACGTTTGAACGATAAGTGGCATGTATATAACGCAGGAACATTATAGATTTAAAAAGAAACAAATATAAAAACTAATAAAAATGTTTAGAAGTGTCCAGAAGAAACCAACGAAATTACTCTTAATGTAAATAAACATTCTGTAGAACATGTCATCAGGAAAATCAGAGGGAATCAGGAAGGACTCGAATTGAATGGTCTGCACCAGGTACTTGCCTACACTGATATAAATTTGCTGGGGGATGGTGTGGGTCCCATAGCCAAGAATGCAGAAACTCTCCTAGAAGCTAGCAAATAAATAGGCCTAGAAATAAATGCAGACAAAACTAAATACATAGGCAAAAGACGAGATCAACATCAGTAATAATGGCGAAACATAATTATAAGTAACAGATCATTTGAAAATTTAAGTATATGGGAACATGAATAACAAACAGAAATGAGATCCATGATGAAATTAAGAGTAGAATACATTTGACAAACGTTTGTTTTTATTCAATTCAAAAACTGTTATCATCTCGTTTGCTATCCAAAACTCTAAAGACGGATCTTAGGAATCTGGGCTGTGAAAATGGCAAATGGATGGAGTTGGCTCGGGATCGAGTCCGGTGGCGGACTTTGGTGTTGTCGGTGTTGGACCTGCGGGTTCTTCTACCAGGGAATTAGCTCGTAAATAAATATTATCATCATCGTTCCAGCAAGTGATTCCCATTATAAGACAGGCTGATAATTACACTACCTACACTTCCGTCACATAGGCTAATACTGTATCTGAAATGGTTCACTGTTTTTTTCGATTATTCTGTTTTTTATACATTTGGTCCGTGTTTGTATCTGTTTTGCCACACAATAAAAAAATGTACAGAAACTCTTAGCAGATGTGCACTACCTGGTTAGAACATACAAGGAGGAAGATGACAGAACACATGTGAAGACAAAATAGGTGGTTTAAATTTTCACTTCTCTAAACTGATACTTTTTTAAAAACTCTACGGGATGGGTCAAGTAAGTAGCCAACATATTGCTTTTATACAGTTAGATACGTGTTAATATAAAATAATTGTGATAATCTTTGAAATACGTAATCTCTTCGTTTGCTTAAAAAGGAGGGTGTAACTGTGAATCTGTTTATTCGTAGTATTAGTATGAATCTTTCATACCACTGAATGGCACCTCTGTACCTTCCGAGATGAGAAAACGCTTTAATTAAAAATGCCGGGAATTAAATGTTCCTAAGTGTCCATAATTGGACGCGAGGCCCGATCATCAGTTAACATCTCACAAGGTCCATGAAATAACGAAGCCGTATAAACGATTTTACGAATGATGATGAAATTTCTCGTATACCCTAACGACTAACGAATGTCATTTTGAACGACAATTCCGTTGTATTCCATTATTTTAACGCGATGGGAAGATAAAATGGATCTAATATGAATAGGGCGTGATGGAGTGTGCTGCATTCAACGGACACTGGACTTTCACGGGCATGACAACGAAATTTTTGGACTCAATAAGAGCCAGTGAAATTCTTCACCGGCTGAACTACTATTAGCTTCTTAAGAAAGGATTCCGCTCCATGTCTTTGTCATGAATGCATGCAGCCAACAATTCCATAGCATCATAAACAACCTGATTTAAAGCTTTCTGCCTTTTGGGTTGTTGCGCTGTGTCGTCTGGTCGATCTTAACCTACGTTTCAGAGGATGACAGAGGCAGTATGACCTCCGAAACGTTGGTTAACATCTACCATACTACACAGCGCAACAACCCAGAAGACAAAAATCTTCATACTCATCGCCCTGATGACGGAGGCAGTATGACCTCTGAAACGTTGGTAAACATCTACCAGACTACACAGCGCAACAACCCAGAAGACAGAAAGCTTCATACTCACCGCTGTGAAAACCTCAAATCTTACAACCTGGTTTAACTACTCTAGATATTCGGTTCACTCATCAATGTTCAACATGTTAACTTGTATTTTGCAGAATGACCCTGATAATATTAAGAAAAGTAAAAAAGAATAAAATTAACTATTTCAATACACATACGGTCTTTTAAGAACTGACCGCATCCTCAACAGAAAGTAAACCCATCTCAAGTAAAGCCAAATTAATTAATAGGTCTAAATAAAAAATTAACATTGTTTCAAAACAAAGTTGAGTGATGATTGATTAATAGATTTAAATCAAAAGATATGGTACTTTCTAGTTACCTTGCAGTATTGGGGTGCTAAGCACAGTTTCTTTGTGATGGGGTCGACAGTCATCTGGTACTTTTCAGAGAGACCCCTACATGGGAACCTTCGGTAATACTGGACTGTTTGGCGAGGGAGAGACCAATATCAAACTACGAGCAGCAAGTACATATTCAAGACCCTGAAAAATCTTCCCTTAACATCTGCATATTTCGCTCTTCTGGACTGTAACGCCGTGTGGACTTACACATAGATACCAACAATTCTGAGAAACATAGTCTCAATCTTCAGCCCTGAAGGTAGAAAACCAACACTGACATCACCACCTTCGATCTTCAACAACATTGTCTTCGCTCTTTGGGATAACGAAACCTTTTGCAAGGGCTTCAGATAGGCATCAACAACATCATAGTACTCTAGGCTTTACCAATCATGTCACAACGTTTTATTTATAATTTCTTTTCCATATAATAACCTTGCCGTTCTATATCATATTAAGAAAGCCCGCAACCTAAGCCAGTTCGAGCCAATCCACACACTTCACCCCTATTTCCTCAACATCAGTTTTAATATTATCCTCCCACCTACGCCCGATAAGACTTAACCACGTATTTAGATTTTTTCTCTGCGTTTTCTTCCAGACCAACATCTTTAATAGCATTTAATAGATCTTCTGTTTCTCCTTATAGTATTTGTGTTTACACCCAATAAATTAACATCAGCACAGAAATGGGCTGATATGTCCCATTCAATTTCAATCACGCTTTGTTATAAACATGATATTGTATAAGACAAAAATTTAAACTTAAATTTATCAGTACTCCTGTCCGCTTTCACGAAATAAGAAACAAAACACTTACCATAGCCATTCATGATTCCATGAGTGAGAAAAAGCGGGGCTCGTCCTGTAAAGATGTCCTTAGCAAATGCTTCTCTGATAAGGCGATGGTCCGATAAAACTACTGTCAACACACTCCCCAACTTCAGCGTGTAGATGCGACCGTAGTCTTTAACTAGGCGAGTGAGGGTCAGATGAGGAGCATTTGGGTCAATCCAAGGTAAGAAGCCCACTATAGGCAGACCATGGGGACCTGGTGGAAGACGTGGTCCTCGGCGGTGTACATACAGCAGCGTTGCGAAGGCGGATGCGCAGAGCAACAGCAAAGCTGTGAAAACCAATGACACGTCTACGTCCATCTGCAAAGAAATTATTTAATTTTATCAACTGCGATTGTCTGTGGAAATGGGGACAGACACAAACAAAAAGCACGAGAAGACTGCTTATCCTGAAGACGAAAATGGCAAACAATATTGCTGATTTGACGCTTAATCAGATTTGTTAGAGCAAGTCTGGACTTTAAACTGGCAAATTTCGAATTAGACCTAGATTACGTCCGTCATGGAAGCGTACAGAATACTTACATACATTCCGAGTAATCAAACTGCATCAAGAAATTAAAATTGTTACAGCCTTCAGACAGAAAAATGAAACCGTTGAAATGTGGGATTATCTAAATTTATAAAATCCAAGAGATACGAGATAAAGATACCGCACTTTTTATTTTCCGTGTTTCATAGTGTCATGTGGCTCACACGGCTAACATGTACCCTGGGTAAATCAGAAAGGATTTGCTTCAAGCTGCCGAGAAAATCTACGAAGGATATCCGGCTTCCAGTACTGAAAACTGCACATGAAATAACGTTATTAAACAAACTAGAACCAGTGAATCGGGCCGAGAACTGTACCTGACATATAAAACAGAAATATTAACCGTGATTATCTACTACGGGTATTCGGCTTAGAAGCGTCTGAATTTTACTTCGTGCTGATGTCGCAGAACGTCCGTGAAGCCCTTTCTGAGTAAGCTGGATTAAAACAGATGAATAACGTCACGCCTCGACATTAATTTCTACGCCATTTTGAGCGACCTTTCCTATTAAATAATGATTCCAAACCGTGTCACACCACAGCTGTGTAATCGAGGACGTTCCGCTTTGACAGACAGGGTAATTCCTTGTTGAGGAAGGCTGCTACTTGAAATCGTAAACAACTTTTTACCGTCACCCGAAGCAACAGAATGTATGCTTTTTAATGTTGCTGAGTTGTTACACCAAACTCATGTTCTTACATCCTTTCTGTTAATCGAAATTGTTGGCAATGAAAACGTTAATTACGTAAATATGCGAATTTAAGGATCAGGATTTTATTGTACAAAAACAACCACAGCGTGAGTGGTGTTCACATCCGGGGTGTAATGCGTTAACTGGAATTTCTTACATAACACTTCCCTCGATTAAAACTTCGTTCCAAAACTTATGTCTACGTACAATGAGTTTAGTACATCAAACTAGAGTTGATTCTCTAGTGTCAGACCTACGTGTTTTTAATGATATGACAAACGTCTGAAATGCATTATTAAAAATAAGCTATTTGTGGAACTTTAAACGAAAATACACGTTTTATTTTAACTTACGTTCCTCATTACCGCTAACAGTTTATACAAAACTTAAATACTAGGTTTATCGTGCATCACTCTGCCCCCGTGTCACATACGAATAGCCCAATGGCAACTATCTGGAAAAAATTAAGCAAATCGTAAATTTTCTGGTTTAATAACTTAGGTGAAAGTTATGTTGTGCAGACTAAGAAAATGCGTTTAATAAATATGCATAAGTCAAATTTTGGAGGTATGATTAAAACCTACAGTTGTATCTCAGTATAATAACGTCGCAAGTTGGAAGTTTTATCCAGAGATTATTAAATTTTCAAAATTAAAATTACGTTTTCAATATTTACCAGCACATACGTGAAAACTGTAACTGCAGCATTTGAGGAAAATGTATATTTAAAGCGTAAGTGCGTAAATGCTCACATTAAATGTTGTGCCCTTTGCATCCGTGCCAACGCCACTAACGCACTTCCATTACGCAAAATACAAATTACCAACAAGACGGACCGAAAAACTTCTCAAGAGTGAACAGCTTTTGTCGTATTCAATATTCAGTCCTCACGTTCTCTACCGTTTATTTATTTGTTGCGTGTTTAACGACGTTGTCAGTAGCTTGGATTGTTGATTAATGAATGACGAATATGGATGCATCGTGGCCTGATTAAAGGCACTAACCCTACATTTATATGGAGTAACCAAGAAAACCCAAGAGAAACTCAAGATAGCTGATATCCGGGCCGAGATTTTAACCCACGATTTCGACGGTCTGTAAACTTGAACGTTGAAAAAAAATTGATAGATATGTGTGGTATTTTTTTTAAAATAGCAATGTGCAACAGCGCTATTTCAATTAAACATAATTAGGCCCATGTTTTACTTGTTCAGATGTCCATTTACATAGCTTCTTACGAACATTATAGTCGCCGCTTGCTTTTATAGCAGAAGTTTACAGACAATGTTTCAAAATTATATCATTCCAGTGAAGTTCAGAGTAGTCCAATAATTTCATTTCAGCTTCACACATACAGCGGAACTGCGTTTCTCAAAGACTAATACCCTTATTTACTCTAAACATGTGTTTACACTTTTTGCTCATATTTTTGTAGAAAGTCACTGATGCAGTTCATTTTAAGCATGTCTATTACTTCATAATAAGTTATCAGTTTATAAATTTGTTTACAATCTAAAGTAAACTTGTAATACAAGTATGGTAAACCATAATGGAGTTAACAGAAGTTATCTTTGTTTATGTAGTCTCACATAGATAATAATAGTTATCAATATTCCAAATAATTCGGCCTGTCGTCTGGAATATTAAAAATGATGGATTATCTCATAAAAGAATAGTAAATGGTATCAACGACATAAATTAAGGATTATTGAAGAATACTGATATAGTTAGAGGCAAATGAAAAAATCATAAGATAGAACAGAGAGGGAAAGGTAAGTTTGAAGTCATTAGAGTAAAGTTTATTTAGCGCCATTAGAGATTATTATATTAGACTGCGATGCAAAAAAAACATTACTTGGACAGTTTTCTTACTCAGAAATAAACTTAGTAAAGGAATTAATTAATACCGTTAATGTCTACAACTATAATCCGAAATATCCCTCGATTCTGACAACAGTTGCGAGAAATATAAAACTTGAAACTAAATGTTGCCGAATGTATAATAAAATTGGTTAATCACAAGCGAAATTATTTCACACCATCAAATATTTATTTTAATGCCGGTTACTTTCTCTCTGAATAATTTTCCTTTTGGTTTAAATCTAGACACATATTACATTATATTTGGGTTGGTTTTAAAGTAATGTGTGAATATGAATTGAACGATTAACATTTAACCCGCTTATTACAAAGTTTAAGTAAAAAAATTCAATAAAAATATTCACGAAAATAGTACACACTTTAGAATAACAAAAGAAAAACATGGTATCCCCAACAATGCATTCCTTTTTGGCAACATATAATTATTTTCTTCTTAATAAGCGTCCATAAGCCGTAATAGCAGAACCTGTTTTGTGTAACCAGTAAAAAAATAAATATCATCCCAAAATACAAGGTTACGTTAAATGCTGAAAAAAGATGTAGGTCTCCAGAATCTTCCATCCCCAGCAACATATGAAATAAAATAGTAATGAATCAAATTAACGAAGCTGTAAATTAAAATTATTTTAAATTTAAAACACAATATGTCATTATTCAGTGTAATACAAATGTAAGCTCACCGATGTTAGTAGGCTGCCTTTCTGCTGAAAACTCTATTTTGGTAAGAGGTTATAATTAATTGCATCAAAGAATAAGAACCACATTTTATTCCAGATATTGAAAATCATATTGCTAGGTTCTTTTTAATGGCAGAGTTAATTTAATTGGTACAGGTTACCTAATACGTTGCTAATAATTTTCCCAAGTACTAATACAACACAAACAATTATTACATTTATTTCATTGCTTGGTTCTGTCTCTATGAATGAGGTGAAATATATTAACGTGTTCCCCTCAAATTCATACTAGTTAAACAGATAACTTGAAAAAACGCCTTCAACCATTTCCTTCAGAGATTGTACCGTTCAGATAAGTACACATTTGTGCGCTAATTTACTGTCATTACAAATGTCTTCTGACCCTTTCAACTACCGTATTACTCGTAATTGACTTCATCACCGGTAAAAACGCAATATTGTCTTACGGATGGCAGTCCAAGGACTCCCCACCACGAGGCCAACCAGAGCACAGCGCCATTTCCTTCCCTGCTAGAGTTACTCACCGTACTTGATTCTTCACTGTCGTTACGTGATCCTGGCATGACAAAAAAATAAATACCACACAACTTCAACACTTCTCTAGAAGACCAATCGGTTATTGGTAAACTTCTCTGTATCGTAACTACACTTGAGACTGGAATTAAATCGGCTAAAAAGCACAAAGCCGCCTTGCAGTAACCTATGCTTCATAGAATCCAGCTTCTTTCTCGTTGCCTGTGCAGTGGCCCGTGTCCTTGAAATGTCCGCTCCGTGTGACAAGAGGTGAAATGGCCGCATAAAGAGAACCGAATCTGAAGAAAAATAAAACTGCAAGCAGAAGACGCTATCCCTGATGTCCGTCCTCTTCTGAACTGAACGCGTATATCATTAAAACGGGGCAGGATATCTCACGGACAGCACACGATTTTTAATCCAGCGCCCGAGTCGAATTAATTTCCATACTTGTTTTCAGCGTCTTGTTTCCTTCCCAGAATTTGAGCCACGCATGTCTGTCTTCGTCTTCCTTATACGCCATATCAGTCATTTTAAGGTGTCAGCATTATAATGTTTCCATGGAATATTTAACACGTGACACCTATAGTCAGTTCATGTGATGTCAATGACGTGCCGTTCTTCATCCTCTGAAGTTTTCTTACTCCACAAGTTCCTGAAAAAAATTGTTGCTGCTCTCCGAAGCAAAATTTCGGATATCACTTTATATATTTACGATGCCCGTGTTTCGGCAAGCGACAGTTACCAAATTACTGTACATACAGGTAGGACTCGGTTTACGCCGCTTCGATTTACGCCCGCTTCACTTTTGAGCCTCTCTCAGATCACGATTGGAGGGGGTGAAGAGTCATGACTCTGTCAGACATCCTAGACTCAGATGCCCCCGACATTGTAACAAAACTATAATACTAAATGATAAACTAGTGCCTAAAATTTAAATAATTAAACAAAAGACGGTTTATAAAAGTTAATGACATAAATGATCTCCTTGAGAGTCATGGTGAAGAGCTTTCAGCGGAAGATTTAGAAGAGCTAGCTGAACAACTGTCCAAAGAAGACACAGAGGATAGTGAAGCTGACTCTGCAATGCTGAGGACACTAACAGTGAAATCACTGGAACAGGCTATTGCTCTTATTAATAAGGGATGTGAGATCTTCTGTATCAACGACCCCAACTGGGAGTGGAGCTCAACCATTAAGAGAGGAATTGAGACAGTTCTACAGCCATACTATAACTTATTATCAGAAAAGAAGAAGACCAAACAGATATTATTCTATCGATTTTAAAGCAGTAATTTTTCTTTCTTTTTCTTAAACATTATACAATTTTCAATACGTAAACTTCATAAAATGAAACATTTTTCAAGAATTTTGTGTTGATTACTTAAAATCTCGGAACGGAACCTAATGTATTTACATATGTTCCCATTATATTTTTGCTTCAATTTACGCCGCTTCATTTTACACCCGAAATCTCAGGAACCTAATACCGGCGTAAACCGAGTCCTGCCTGTATTTCGACCGCATCCTTCCACGTCGTTACCAATTCACTATTATCCTCTCATTGGACGATGTAAATTTTGAGCCACTGAAAAGGCGTCGTTAAATAACTACAAATAAATAAAAAGATTTCATTCAAAATGCGTACAGTAACTCCACGCTATATAATGCATAAAAATACTGATATAGATTTAGTCCGGTTTATTTTAACATCTTAAAGCCCAGTGAAAATTACATGTACCACCTACTTCAATAATCATTAACTGTGTATTTTATATTTGTAGGTATCGTAAGATTATCAGAATAAATAGCAATTATTTCCTTAAGCAGCGTTTACTAACTAATATTTATAAAGGTGTAGTGTTGTTTTCTTTGTGGTACGGACTGAATTCTTTAATTTACTTGGGCGATCTTCGGCTTCAAAGGGTTAAGGGCCACGTGTGACCTAAAGCTTTCACGGCGACTAAGTACGTAACTAAGTAAGTAACAAGGTGCTGAGGACATTTGGACGTAAGAGACATGAAGTGGTATGTAGGAAACGAGAAAAACAAGAAATGAATACAGATCTTTAGTTCTAAAGCCTGAAGGGGAGATATTATTCTGAAGATCTAGCGGTAGATTAGAGGATAATATTAAAATGTATATTGAGGTACGGGGATAAAAATATGTCTGTCGGTTTCTTGAGTACACAGTAATAAACCTTCGGGTACCATGGAAGGCGATAAACTGGTTGACTAGCTGAACAACTCACAGTTTCTAACGTAGGAATTTTCTTAGTATATTTAGTCAGTTAATACATCTTTTACTTACGTATTTTGATTCCTTTTACACATATAAACAAAAATAATACTCGACATTTCATTCTACACATCGATATGCTATACAAACCAATAAATGTTAGTCACTTTCATTCATTCTAAATGTATATTTTACTAACTAACTAGATGGCTTACCGAACCCGAAGGTTCATCACCGAAATGACCAAAGCCCTCCACCGGACCCTGTCCTGGGCCAACAAAATCCAGTCTCCTTCAACTTTTATCTCCCATAGATCCCGCCTGAGATTACCCTCAAATCTACGTCTAGGTCTCCCCAGCGGTCTCTTCCCCTCAGGCTTCCCAACCAATACCCGGTGCACACCTCTTGTCCCATCCATGCGCGGTATATTTTACTTAAGAGCTTAAATAAGCCTTTATGTGTACTTCGCTTAGACTTTTTACAGATGTAAATTTCGTAATATGCTGGGATTTTATGGCGAACAGTGGTCAGTTCCCCGCGCACCTTGCAAGCTTATGGACCGTCCGTTGTCGGCTATCAGCCACTGTTTATTCCATATATCCGCAGTTATCCTTCGTAACTGAAGGCCGCCCGAACTACCTAAGCTTCTGAAGGACTGTCTATTCCAATGGAGCTTCTTTCACAAATACTGATAAAACTTGAAACACGCACTTATATATCACAAACTGCCTATATCATCAATAATTTTAAAGAACATTCATTTAATTTTAAGAGGCTCTGAATATAGGTAGATGATCAATTTCGCCTTTACGTAATGTATTTAGTGCCGACTGATAATTCTTGATGAAACTCATAAACACTTACAGCAATTTTCCGATCCAAATTATAATTGAAATGGATCAACAAATTTTTGTAAAACTTTGAATAATTCATTTAATTAAAATTGTGTTATCCTTTCTCCAGTTCACTCATGGTGGACGGTGATGACGCTCTACGTCACACCTCAGTTATTCCGACCACGGGATAGTTAAAACGACACCTCTACTCACACTGAAACAGCAGTAATAAAATTAACATTGTTTTCTCGATATCATTTAATAGCCTATAAAACAAGTTGGTCACAAAGTATCACTAGGAGAAAGAATTAACCACATGTAATACAAGTAAATGCACAAAATATCTATTGGGAAGAATAAATCAGGTTCTGTACCAACATAATGACCTAAAAGAGACACTTCTATTAAATAAAATGCCATCTTGGATCTTTCAGAACTCACTCGATTTTAATTACAGGTCGTACTGGCTCCTGGCACACTCTCTCGTGCACTGCGTCTTCGTAAGATTCAGATCTATCGATACAGCAAGTTGTTATTGAAAATCCAGTGGACCAGCACATGGTCAGAGAATGGGAATTGAAGAAATCATATCTGGGATAAAATATAGAGCGCAGTTCGTCTGTGGTTATCACGCCTGCCTCACGAGTCATTCGTTTACATAAGTTTCTAAAAGCAACATGTGAGATATTGCTGACCTACGTACTTGTAATTTCTTTTGATTCACCAGTGGGTTATCTTGCATAACAGGATCAAAGAGTAGAAATATATGATGATAATAAATATTGTTTTGTACAGTCACAATAGTCTGTTATATTGATAGGTCCCATTTGTCACGTACAGGTATTTACGTTTTTATAATCAAACCACATGACTTACTTGTTTAAAATGCCGTCACAGAAGATTATTTAAAGGTTTTTGATATGGTTAAAGTGGGCTCGTGGAGCAAAGTCCTTATGGAACTAACAGCCATTCAGCTAGTCAAAGAAAGCCCTTTTAAGGAATCTGAAGGTTAATTACTATGTTCACAAACCGACTTCCTTAAGCACCATTTCAATAACCTCGCACCCAAGCCAGTCTTCCGAGCACGCATTACCCACCTCCCCCTGCTTGCTACATGCATCGCCCATATCCTCCCCTTTAATTCGATTATCCTAATAATACAAATTTGGGAAAAAGTACACATTGCGTTTCTCCTTATGCAGTTATTTTTCCCCAAATACTCTTCTAAGTTCCCTGTTCTAAAACACCCTCAGTCTGAATTATTCCCTTCAAGTGACGTATTATGTTTTACAGCCATACAAACTAACTAACTAACTAGATGGCTTACGGAACCCGAAGTTTCATCAGCGAATTAACCAAAGCTCTCCACCGGACCCTGTCCTGGGCCAACAAAATCCAGTCTCCTTCGACTCCTATCTCCCATAGATCCCACTTGATATTATCCTCCCATCTACGTCTAGGTCTCCCCAGCGGTCTCTTCCCTTCAGATTTTCCAACCAGTACCCGGTGCACACTCCTTGTTCCATCCATGCGCGCTACATGCCCTGCCCATCTCATTCTTCTTGACTTAATCACCCTGACAATCCTGGGGGAGCAGTACAGATTTTTAAGCTCATCATTATGCAGTTTCCTCCACGCCCCATCGTCTTCCCTCTTAGGCCCAAATATCATCCTCAACACCCAATTCTCAAACACCTGCAATCTGTGTTCCTCCCTCTGAGTGAGAGACCATGTTTCGCACCCATACAAAACAACAGTCAAGATTATTGTTTTGTGAACTTTAATTTTCAGGTTCTTAGAAATCAGACGGGAAGACAAAATATTTTGGACTGAGAAGTAGCAAGCATTTCCAGAATTTAGTCTCCTCCTAACTTCCTCATGAGTGTCATTTTTATTTGTTATTGTTGTTTCCAGATATTTGAACTTTGTAACCCTTTCAAAGGACTTATTAGCTACCCTAAGATAATTATGCCCGCCTGTCTCCTGATGAGACACTAATATGTAGTTAGTTTTTTCTGAGTTTACTTCTACTAGCCTCTAGTAAAACTTCTCCGTTCCTCTTTATTGTGTTTATGTCGTGCCCCAATAAATTAACATCATCAGCA